ATGACCCTATGTTTCTTCACAGGTCTGTACTGTTATGATCTGAAGAATCCGAGTGGCTTAAAAAAGGAAGGAGGTTGCTTAAAATGTGTTTTGAGTTTCCTCCCCCCTTTCCTGTTAGCCAACAGGGCATTCTGGGTATCATGCTAGAATTCTATGTGATAGAATTTTGATCCTAAGACTGGCAGCCTAAGTGGGAAGTGGATTGAGCCCAGTTCCTCTTAGTTATCCCAACTCAGTGTTTTGCTGATGTGCGCAGAGGTCTCTGGGCGGCTTACAATAATAGTCATTATTATCATAACTCAGTGTTTTGCTGGTGTGCCTCTAGTGCACCCAGACTTCTTTAGAAGTGTGTGTGTTTGCAATCTTGGAATTAGCCACCAGTTGAGAATATAGAGCAATGGTGGCAAATGTCCCTGACTCTCATCAAGCAGCAGCCATGGTGTTCCCCAGTCACGTTATACACAGGCTAGATGTCCAGCTTCTCACATGGCTAACTTGCTTCCCCCCTCCTGCCACATTAATTTTCCAAGCATCGTCCAGGTCAGATGAAACATAGACTCCACCTCAGTGAATATGTCAAAATTAATAAAACCTCCCCACCCTCAGCAGCTGATTGATCCAACCCCTTTGACCCTCTTGAAAATTGGAGACGCAACGAGGTGGCTCTAATAATAACAAGTGTGATTGCAAAACAGGGAAACTTAAGGAGAGGCGGTGAGGCTCCAATTAACAATACATGCCCATACACAGACTCAGCAGTGTACCACACAGAAAAATATATTTTCCATTTGTGCCAAGTCTGTGAGGCAATTTACTGCACATTGTTTGGAATCATTACCTCTTACAGTTGAATGTTGCAGCCAAAAGTGATTAATAAGAAGATGGTCCTTCGAGGCAGCAGAACAGCATCAAGGACTCCATTCTTTCTGTAAAGCTGTCCTTTACTAAAGGTAGCTGTTGGGGGATGGGGTTGGCTGATGAGGATCTGTTTGCTGCTTGTAACACTTCAGACCAGGACTGCTCATAAGGAAACTTCTCAAGGCCCTGGGTGCCTGTGGTAGTGATCAGAAAATGTTCATCTCCCCCAGCATCAGAAAACTGCTAGTGCATCTGTATGATCTTTGTTTCTCTGTGAAGCTGTCAATGGATGCTCTTGACTTTACTGTGCCTTGTAGATGTCAGTGCTGAAGAGTAACTGTTCTTTGCAGAGAGAAAACAGCAGGTTTTTCATGCTTATTAGTGAGCTGGTTCTGATAGCTTGGGGAACATCACTTTTCTGTTTGAATGTTATGTGTGTGTCTGAAGTGTTACCATGACACTGATCTAATTTTCCTGGTAATGCATGAGTTTTGAAGGCCCTTTAGAATTACTCAAGACGTGAACAAGAATGTAAGGCAGTTATGTCTGCCATAGGTAAACTACTGTCATACCATTGTTTCCCACATATGACATACGTATAATATACATGAAGTATACACATTTTAACAGCCATGTATATGTATCAAGGTCATATCTCAAGATAAACATTTTTAAATATTTTTAAACTTAATTTTTTAATGTTTAAGAGTATGTGTCTTTCATTCATATTTCATCTATTTTCTGAAAGAAATACTGGACATGTAACTTAGGTCTTAGTAATGGGTGTGAGAGAAGAGTAGAGTTGTGTGGATAGAGGATCAGCTTTCTGGGGTGACGTCCCCATGGAGCCATTAGAACTGCATGGGATGACAATGGTAAATCACTTCAGGAACATCTCACATACCTTGAAAAGCCTATTAAGGTTGCCATAAGTCAGAAGCAACAATGAGAATAGTTGAGAATGGAAAGGACAGTCTGATTCAAGGAGTGTTATGTGATTATATGTTCCTAGTTTTATTTTGTGAGATCCAGGCATATATTAGGGAGTAGTAAAGAACATGGTTATGATTCATTTGTGAAGGCTATCGGAGGAGAGAGAAGTCTGCTAACGGAGAATGTGGATGAGTAGGTGATAGTTTGTTTGCAACACTTCTCTTCTTCCAGGAGTGAGAACAGTGTTGTCACTACAATGTATCATTATTCTCAATAAGGTCTTCCCAGAATTTCTGTCTTGGCTGAACCATGGTGAAATTTGCACATTATATAGAGAGAATTTCTCATGGGCTGCTATGTAGCAATTAAAACTCCTTCCTCAACAGAAGGTGTGGGCTTTGCTGAGGTTCCAAGGGCTATACCCATCCCATTTAACCCCCCCCCCAAAAAAAAACACCTACACAGAAATGACTGAATTTTGAAATGGCACAATGCAGCATTACCTCAGCATTTGCCTACCACAGTATGATAGGTGGCTGCAAAAAACTGTGTGTCATCAGAGATGGTGAGGTCAGTGTTGTAAATGTGGGTCCTCTTAATGTATATAAAACCTCAGGGGTGCATTTAATACGTATAATGCTTAAGTAATGTATATCTCACATTGTGAATGTAGCTCTTTAAAAAACAAAGGGTTATTATTGATCTCCATACTCCAAAATAATAGGTTGAATAAATAAAATCGTTTTAATAGGATAAATTGAGTCAAATCTCATTGCTGGAGGCACCATAATAACTTTAGAAGAAATATTTCATGTCTGCGTGATCACTTGCATATTAAGTAATGGCAACATTTATAATCTCAGGCAAAGCTTGACTGTGTGCTTGTATTTTTCTTTTTAAAGAAAATGAAAGCTGTTTAAGATTCTATCCTTCTGTATGGCATATCAATGTATTCATGCTTTCGGTCTGAAAAGGCAGAGGGAAGAAGCTTCTCCCTGGGGAAATAGCAACTTTATCTAGCCTGAAACCAGATAAAAAGATTATTGAGTAGCAATGAGAAAGAAACCAAGCAACTGCATTTCTTGTTCCATCTCACACTTCTCCCTGGATATGCTCTGTGTGATTTATCGTTCTAGCAATGATTGGCACAGGGAGAGAGAAACGTGGTGGGGTGGGGGGGGAAACACGGTTAGAGAGACTGAACAATCAAGTCAGCATCTTTGGTTTTTCATGTGCAAGTTAATAGCACATAATGGCTGAAAATTAGGTTATGTTTCCCAATGAAATTATAGGAGGTGGAGAAAGGTACCAACAGTGGAATGGAAAGCATTACATATACATTATATATACTCTTGCCAAGACCAGAACATAGATTGAGCAGTTCCTTCTTTCTAATCTCTCACAGTCCCTCTATTTTCATATTGTAGCAAGTCATGTTATTTGTTTGTTTGTTGCTCTTTATTCACCACCTTGTTTCCCAGAAATGTAGAGCAGACCTTAGGTTTTTTTGGGGGGGTGGGGGTGGGGGAAAAAGATCTTCGTTCAGGGATCTTAGAGCAAATCACAGAAGTGTGCCACATTGCCAACTAAACTACAGACTGTGGCATCTCCAGTTACAATATAAGGGATTAGATGAAAGGCTTCTATCTAAAGCTAGGGAAAGCTGCTATCAGTATAGACAGTACTTGGCTAGACATATAAATAACCTGACTTGATATAAGATTGTTTCATCTGCTCCTCCGATCATCTATCCATCTGTATTGTGCTTTCACGTCTGGCCGGTGAGATGCCTGTGGACGTTCACAAACAGAATGAATCTCGATTGTCTGGCTTTGTTTTTTCCCCCTCATAATCTGCTATGTTAAGCAATGCCCTTTCTGAAAATAGAGATTAATCTTAAAGATCAAGATCAGTGGATTTGTATAGGCCTTCATGAGTTATGGTGACATTAGCAGTCACAGCTATGGCTTCCACCATGCTCATATTATTCTCTGTAGGAAAAAAAACAGATTATAAAAAATATATATGCATAAAAAAGCTGCAGTTCCAGTCAGGGTTCCTTAGGTCTGGGCTCCTACAGAGCTCAATCAAGTTTGGTACTAGAGAGAATGAAGCATGTTCCATCCACTTATAATTTACATAGGGATGAAGGTATGGATACAGCAGATATATGCCATCTATACCATATCCCCATAGTTTTTGATATTTCTCACATCTGCATACTCTTTCAATTTAGAATGGGCTTAGCTGATTTTTTTTCGGGCCCAAGTAGGATTTTTACCCTGTTTGCACTTTGTTGTTGTTTAGTTGTTTAGTCGTGTCCAACTCTTCGTGACCCCCATGGGTCAAATTCTTGTTGGTTGCTTCGATGACACTGTCCAACCATCTCGTCCTCTGTCGTCCCCTTCTCCTCCTGCCTTCCTGTTTGCACTTTACTGCAGGGTATTTTGCCTACTTTTCTTTTACTGAGCCAGGTGGTTTTATATTTATGGTGGATGTGGGTTTTCTTAGGCTAATTCATCCAGATCTGGTGAATCTATAGCAGAGTCTTCTTACTTCAAGCCCAGTTGACTCAGTTGGTTAATTTGATCTAAAAGTTCTGCTTCAGGTTAATTTAATTATATTTGGTTTATGCTGGCAGGATTGTACAGCAATTCTGTTAATGGATAGGATTGGTAGATACTCATAGGTTTATTTAAAATAATAGGTGGTTTTCAAAATTTGCAGGTCAGGACTTTGAGACTCACCCCAAAAATGATATGGTTCATTCTTGCAATCAACTTCACTCTTCTGCTCAGAGTTGTGAGGCCTGAGATAGGAGATGAATGTCTCCATATGCCACAGATGGTGATGGCTGTGTATATGACAATCTAAGATTGTTGCTCAAGAAGGCTGGGGAGACATTTGCCAGTAGATTTTCTGCAGGATTACAGTCTAGAGGATGGATTCCTTCACAGTTCAGTTTAAATGGATGTGGCTGTAGTTAAATCTATTTCTTGTGTTTTATCTTTTCACTGATGACTCTCTCTGCAAAATGATAAGGCAGAAGAGTGTATTGGTTCAAATGCAAACTAAGCAACATAAAATAAATGCAAAAGAAATAAGATGATAATTACAAGATTATTTATTGTTTCTATTATCAGTAACTACATTCAAAATTTGTCAGAGGCATCAGCAAATATAATAATTCATTTTTGTTTATATTTCAGTTTACTGAAAAGTGCCACAAAACAAACAGAATGAAGCAGATTTGAGAGCATCATCATATTGAAGGCTGGAACAAGAAGCTGACCTTAACGGTTAGAATAATTATATCTTATTTACTGTGGTTTTAAAAAGAAAATCATACTAATTTTGCCAGTCTGGTGCTGTTCATTTGTTACTCAGTTTAAAATTTAAAGGGTTTTATTTAAGGTAAAGCTTCCCATGACATTTAGTCCAGTCGTGTCTGACTCTAGGAGGCGGTGATCATCCCTGTTTCCAAGCCATAGAGCCAGCATTTGTTCGTAGACAGTTTCCATGGTCACATGGCCAGCATGACTAGACACGGAATGCTGTTACCTTCCCACCATGGTGGTACCTATCTATCTACTAGCATTTTACATGCTTTTGAACTGCTAGGTTGGCAGGAGCTGGGACATGCCACTCGTCACTTGGATTAGAACTGCTGATCTTTCAACCTTGCATCCCAAAGGCTTTGCGGTTTAACCCACAGTGCCACCACGTCCCATCGTGGTGGGTTTTATTTAAATAAAGACAATTGAAAATAGATTCAAGCAATAGTGTCATTGTAGGTTCTTCCTGTTCCTTATGCACTTAAGAAAGTAACAAATTATTTAAGTTTTGGAAGATGTTACAGTTCACAGACAGGACCAGAGGAATGAGGGTAAGACCTCTGCTGAGAGCCTCCAAGACTTTCTTCTGCAAGCACAATTGTAGGTTGTTTTTGTTACTAGTGTAGGGATTTTTGGATGTTCTGAACTACTAAAATTCTCTGTTCTGGGAGTTCCACCTACCTTACAGGTACCTTGCAAATACCTGAATATAATGCACCTGAAGAAAAGCCAAAAATTAGAAAACTTCCAGGCTTAGTTAAGCCAAGCTCCACTCATGTGTCCTGTTCCTATCCCAGCTGGGAGCTTTATTTATGGGCAGGAAGCAAGGGTGGAGTTTACTTAAGCTAGGCCTCAGAGGCTCCTAATTTAGACTACAGTGGTGCCTTGCTTGATGACGATAATCCGTTCCATTGAAATTGCTGATAAGCGAAATCATTGTCAAGCGAATTTTAAAAAACCATTGAAATGCATTGAAAATCGTTCAATGCGTTCCAATAGGCTAAATACCTGCTCATTTTGTGAAAATCCTCCATAGGGCGGCCATTTTCTGGTGCCTGTAAAGCGAGGAATCCATCCTAAAGCACAGCGGGGAGCCATTTTGCACAGCAGGCGGCCATTTTAGAGCCACCAATCAGCTGTTTTAGAATAATCGTCTAGCGGAAAATCGGTTCCCGAAGCAGGGAACTGATCATCATCAAGCGAATTTTCCCCATCTAAACATTGTTTTGCAATCGCCATTGCAATTGCAAAAACCTCATCGTAAATCAGATTTGTCATTTGATGAGGTAATCGTTAAGCGAGGCACCACTGTATTGTATTCTCCCAAGTGCATCACAAGAAAGAACTTCCAAAGTAAATACAGCTCTTAGAATTGAGAGCTATGGTATCTGTAATTCAGAAAATCCCATCCCTAATAACCACATGCAAAGTATCCAGGACCACATCCTAAGTGTGATCCTGGATACTAACTCTTCAACACTAACCGAGTGCTAACAAATTAACAAGTCTGCAGTTGCATTCTGTTTAGAAATTCCCTTCTGAGTGAATGCAGATTTTTTTCCCTGTAATGTTACAGGGATCAAGAAAAAATGTTTGGCTTAAATTTATGGCCTTATGTGACACAAGTTTTCATGGATAGTAGGCCACTTCATCAGAGGCTTGAACTGCAGTCTCAGACAGCAAATATCTGAGTAGACACTCTACCCATCTGATAAAGAAGTCACCCTTTAAAGTGTCGTTAACATATGTTTTTGTTTCAAGAGACAATGTGACAATTCCCTAGAAACATCATGATAAACTAAATCAAAAAGGAATCTAAATAATAGCTGATTATAATAGGCACGGACCACTTCAAAAGAGTTCTCTACTCTACAACACAAATAGGATACTTCATCAATCATTGATCATTTTTTCCTCCAGTTAAAAAACATTTTACAAGCTGTGGACTGTGCAAAAAAGCATGACATTCACTTGTTATTGTCACTGTGCTACTTAATATGCTGTTTCAATCTGTTGAATACTGCTGGATTTTATAGATGAATGGCAAACCTTATCTGGCTTTTCTTTGGTTTCCTCAATATGAGATCATTTAGAATGGCATGGCTGACTATTCTGTGCTACATGATTATATCAGTACAAAAAAGGATTAAGGAAATTGGCTTCCGTCATTTCTAAACTGTGGAAACCATAAATAGGCTTGTGCTTAGTTCTGGCCGGATGAGAGCTACGTTTGTTTGGGTAAAATGGATATGATCTGCTTTGGACAGGGGTGGTGATGGTTTCTGTGTAGAAAAAAATGAATTGACATTTGCATTATTCTGAATGTTTGCAGTTTGGCTGGGAAGAAGTGAATTTCAGATATTTTGAAAAAGCTGAGTTTCATGTTAAAAGGCCATGGAATACAAAGACTCTGCCTTGGCAATGACATGTGCAAAAAGTACTTTTTAACCAAGGTTGATGGGCTCAATACCATCAAACTATTTCTCTGCTATGAATGCTTTTTATCCACAGTCTACTACAGTACTATCTCTGTCCGGCCAACCCCTCCCCCTCCCCCTCCTTCACCAGTAGAACTACAAATTGTAAAATCAGTATAAAATATACATATGAGTTTTTCAGGAGTTATAACTACAGTGAGAATCAGTGGACAATATGAAATGGAGATCTGCCTGTCCTATACAATCTTCCCAGGCTGGGTGGTTGAGAGTATTGACCCTGAGGGGGGCCTGGAAAAATGGGACTAGAAACTCAGCGTACTTGGTGGTTGCTCCTCAACTCTGGAATAACTTCCACCAAAATTCACCTGACCCCTTCAAGGGAATTTTCAAGTGATTGTTAAAAACATTAATTTTGATTTTATAACCATTATGTGTTTTGCATTGTTCTTGTTGTCTTATTTGTTTAATATGTAAACCACCCAGAATGACCTTGGCAGCCAAATGTGCGGCATAGAAATTAAATGAATGAATGAATGAATGAATGAATACAATACAATACAATACAATACAATACAATACAATACAATACAATACAATACAATACAATACAATACAATACAATACAATGGAGAGCAAATTCTAAACTTTCATTTCAGTAAGTGCTACCAACATTGTAATGTCCTCTAACAGAAATGTCAAATCTTTGATGGATTTTTAGGCTGCAACTTGTATTTAAGTTGTCATATTGGCCAAAATCCTCTTGCATAGTTACACAAATGGAGGCAAACTGCCATGCTGAGAAATTGTTGTCCTTATCAATTGCTTTCTGAATCACACCACTGCACATGCAACAGATAATGTTTACAATGATGTTATGTTGTTGTTGTTTAGTCGCATGACCGCATGGACCAGAGCACGCCAGGCCCTCCCAGACTTTGGTGTAGAGCATGCCAGGCCCTCCCAGAGTTTGGTGTAATTCACGTTGGTAGTTTCGATGACACTGTCCAAACATCTTGTCCTTTGTCATCCCCATCTCCTCTTGCCTTAACACTTTCCCAACATCAGGGTCTTTTCCAGAGAGTCTTCTCTTCTAATGAGATGGACAAATAATTGAAGCCTCAGCTTCAGGGTTGATTTCTTTCAAAATGGATAGGCTTGTTTTCTTTGTACTCCAGAGGACTCTCAAGAGTCTCCTCCAGCACCACAATTCAAAAGCATCAATTCTTCAGCGATCAGGCTTCTTTATGGTCCAGCTCTCACTTCCATACATCACTACTAGAAAAACTATAGCTTTGACTATGCGTACCTTTGTCAGCAAAGTGATGTCTCTTTTTGTGCTCTCCTCTTTCACCCTGATAAACCTGGACAGCACCTTAAAAAGCCACCCTCGCTTAATTCAAGCTTTCTCTTTTGCTTGCCTGTTCTTTTTCATAGTTTTGAGTCAGTCTCTCTCACTCACTTTCTCTCTCTCACACACACATCCACCCACCCTCCCTCTATTTTCTCCATACATTTTCTCCATACATTTAAATAAGGTTGATGAAGCCCTCAGTCTCTTGCATCTTCCTTCCCTCCTTCCCTCGTTAACTTGATCCTTTCCCTCCTCCTGCTTCCTTGCAGTCATTTCCGGAGGAAGCAGTCATTCAGAAGCCCCGGATTGATTGATCGCCCAGGGCTAATCCACAGCTGTAACCAATCAAGCAGGCTTATCTCCGATCTCTGAAAGAACGGAGGATTTACAAGTGCCCTGCTGCAACCAAGGAAGTAACAGGGAGAGGTGGCTTACAATTTGAGGTTTGGCTGCAAAGGGTGGGGATGGGTGGGAGGGAGGGGGGTAGCACTCTGCTCATTACTCCCAGGATTTTGACTTTTAACCCCATTTGGGGTAATTTACTCCTGTTTCCCGACCACTGCAGTACAGCTTTTCCCACTAGAAAAACTGTACTGGGATACAGTCATATAAAATGATGTCATATTCTACCATAATTTGCTTTGAAAAGTTATTCTCTTTGTGATAATGCCAGCATAACTATGTAAGACAATTTGTGCCATTGAATGTTAATTGATCTCATATAATAATTCTTTGTGAATTTAAGCTTAAACCAGTTCTTCTTATTTATGTGTCTCAAGTTCATAATAATAAACCCCAGCCAACTGCATTAGTCTGATATTTCGATAATGTAGCCCTGCTTAAACGTTTTGGCTGGGCTCTAGAGTGCTGGTCAGGTAACAGGAGAAATATGAAATCTAAAGAGTGTTTGCTAACCTATGGTCTATGGGCCACTGGGGTGGGTGGTTGTCTGTGAGAGAGCAACAGGTGATCTGTGGGGAACCATATAAATTGATAAACAGTTAAATGCAGAAGGGAATGTAGTCTCCCCCCACACACAAAGAAAGGTAAGATCAACATTATGGAGTGCTCTGTGTGACTCAAAGTGCAAGCCTAGTACATGTCTACTAAGAACTGAGCTATGCGTACTACCACATATGTGGCATCACAGCTATACATAGTGGGTATAGCATTCA